ATTTACATTACATTACAAATTTAAATGAAGCAATCATGCAGACATACTTGTCAATATGCTACATGAACTTAAAAAAATATAAAAACTCAAAAGCTTTTAAAATGTGCGAATAAAGTCAACGTATGATTATAAAATATTAATGTTACGTTTCATTTTTCTTTATCTCATGATTGCTGTATTGAATATGGGCAAATTTGTTTTCTTAGAGAGCAAATGATATATAAAAAAATAAAATTCAATCAGAATCATTGTGTCTTTCTACCCACACGTAATTAACATTCGGCGTACGTTTAAATATGCCCTTCGATATAAGCACAAATAACACATACTCATAATCTTTGTTACAACAAAAGCTATCTTTACAGCATAAATTAAGTTTACGCTTTGAAGGCTTTGAATGGTTTTTGTGCGGTGATGTAACAATTATGTTAAAGAAATACCTAATTTCTGTTTAACGTGTGCTGTTCCGACACGCTCAGCTTCAGTGTTGTCACTTTTCCTACTTTTTTGCTTCTCTTGATTTGCAGATATACAATTACGAAAAAGAAAACGAAGAGGTTCGCGATAATTTACAATATACAAAATAATAAAATATATCAAAGTTCTATACATATGTTCACCTTTTGCATATCCTCTGTGACATAAAAAACAACTACAATAAATTGTTTGTACAAATCTATGTATAATATAGAATTTTTATAAAACTCTGTAAATAAAAGTTTATGATTCATAGATACCGGAAAAAATTTAAATAATAAACAGCGAGTCTGGATATTAATCAATACCCATCATAAACAAAGTAATTATTCTCAATTTGTGATTCTATTTAATTATTTTGCAGTACGATAGTCAATTTTGTTGATCTAGCAGAGCTCGAACTTTCCTCTGCTATCATACTATCGTTACCTCTATTTTTGTATTATTGTTCATTTCTGTGATTCAACAATAAAATTGTACAAACCTAGCACGTTTTTGTGCTTCGCCAAAATATATTACACATTTCAAATTACGCTCGTCAAGTATAGAAATTTTGAATATTAAAGAATGGCTTGCGACGTGGAAGGTGGTGGATTGCTTGGTAAGGCTGGCACTGGTCCATCAGTCCACTGTATAAGAGAATGCTCGCCCATTTGCGTACTTTGAAAGTGGTCTTTCAACAACGTTTGTGAAAAAGTACAATGCATTTGGTATGCTTCGCTTTCGCGATTTGGATCTCCACAAATTCTATAAAGATCTGCAAACAAATATTACAATTAATTTGTTTCTTAATCTGAAAAAGGGGACATGTATATTTTTCAAAATATCTATTAAAATAAGTATATACCTTTGAGTATAGCAGTGGCCCATAATTGTACATGAACGTCAGGTATTTTAGAAGCTAATTGCATTGCAGGTGTGACCATATTCATGGATTCTCTACTATTTCCTAAAGAAAGGAATATGTGACCCAAAAGTACAAGACTACATGAAGTAAGTCTGTTTAGATCTTCAGAATTGGCCATCTTTAACGTTTCTCGAAGATATCTCCTAAGAATTTCATTTATATATTTAGATATTTATAATAAATAATTCATTGTAATACTTCATATAAATAAGTTTATACTTTGCTTCGTTGTATCTAGCTCCAAAAAATGCTTGAAGTCCTTGAACATAATACGCTGCTGCTCTTAAAGAATGTGAATGAGATGGCAAAGATTCAGGATTTATTCGTTCTAGCAAAGCACCTAATTCAGTATCTCTTTTAGTTCTAAGATATACGATTGCTAGATTTAAATTTGCGAAAGTCCAGAGTTCCCTTTCTTGTGATGTCTATCATGGAAAATAAATTATAAATTATTGTATAAGCGACTGATATGATCATTTCTTTTTACATTTATTATCTTACCCTAAGAGCAGCTGTAAACTGAGCTTCAGCAGCCTCCATACAATTCATTGACATTGCATATAATCCTAATAAAGCATGTAATTGTGGTCTGTGACCCTGAAGTAACCTTGGTTGCCTTCTACAAAGTTGACACGCTTGAGATATTTCTGCAAGAGCTACGCTTTTATTTCCCATTACAAGCCGACACATCACTATATGCTCCAACAACATCAATTGAAAAACGGATAATATAGGTTTGTTATCAACAACTGTAAAAAAAAAATGAATATTAGGTCTGCTCTGAAGTTATGATTAAACAACAAAATACAATTATGCTTACTTTTAAGTTTTTCAATTTGAGTTAATGCTTTATCTGTATATTTTTGAGCTTTATCCATGTAACCAGCTTGCATTGAATGCATAACTGTTACTAAATACACCAAAACATATAAATGATCTTTTGGCATCCATATAAACATATCACCAATGTTTGAACCTGTAACTACTTCATCAGCTGGCCAACTAGGAGACATTATAGTTTGTATACTCTGTTGTAATTGTTTCAAACAAGGCTTCACACTTTTTACCTATTAAAAGTAATAACAAGATTCATGTCACATTCTTAAAAGAAAAAAATTCTATTCTTTCCTCACCTGGCCGGCCATTAAGTAATGACAAACTTGAAGTACCAAAAAATATACTTTTAAGTATTCTTTTTGGTGTGGGCTACCTTGCCAATTTTCAACATGATGGCCTGCTGAATTTAGAAGAGGATGAACTTCAGTAAATTTTTTGTCTATTAATAAAAGCATGCATCTGCTCAATAAGAACAGAACTCTGGTATAACTCGCATTGCTAATATGAGAGTAATCAACACCTACAGCAAGTAAACTACTAGCTGCAACAAAATCTTTTTCCGATGCATGTATTTGCTAAAACAAATAATATAAGTTCAATTCATTTTTAATTATCCATTAAATTTATTTGTATCTAAATAAACTTACTGCAAGTTGGAAAATAAGCCTACAATGCCAATACACATTGTGCTGTGAAAGTTCTATAGCTTTCCTTAATATCGGCTTACTAAGGTTTGGTTGTTGCTGTTGTTCATATAGTTCTGCGACTACACTTGCTGCTTCAAATTTCACATCATCAAAAGTATTTATATTTTGACTTAAACGCCACTAAAATTTGATGTAAACTGTTACTATATTAGAATTACTTTTATTAAGATATAATTATCTATTATTTTAGCAAAATCACTATGACATCAGTTATATTTTAATTGCTCTAGGTTGTTACCGATGGTACCAAAATAAAAAGAAAGGTTAGAATCCCAACAAAAAGAAATATAAAGATTTAAACAAACTACATGTCAACAATGAAAAGAAACATTTAAGAACACTACTTATAATTAATTATAATATATTTAATATAGAAACTGACCGCTTGTTCTAAATGAGATCGCGCCAAATCGATGTTTTTGGTATGCGTAAGAAGGATGTTGCCAAGCTGAAGATGAGTACGTGCTTCAACTCTAGGAGGTGGCTTAAAATTGAAAACCGCTTGCAAACACTGTATACACGATTTAATATTTGGTGGACTAGACGTTCGAAAGTTTTCTGCTAGTCCTAATAACGACAGATACCAAGCGTCCTGTGAAGACGCCATTTTGACATTTCACGAGCAAAATTTCCAGCCGTGATAATACACGGTCATTCGCTTCTCACCAAAAAATCTTCTCACCACACGCAACAAAAACTATATCACTTTTCTAAATAACAAACTTATGATCACGACACGATTTACAATTTCGCGGTGTCTTGTTGAATACGTTTCCCCTGGAAACCGCTATGTTGCGTAATGTTTACATACATATGTAACACGATATTTTCTACATTATTGCTTTATATTTTTTAGATATACATGAAAATTGTTCGTTAGTGAACACAAACCGTTGACATTATTTGATGTAGATAAATCTAGATGGACTACATTACTCATTTTGATGATTTTAATATATAACGGTAACTGTATTCGATAGAATCGTTATGTATCGTGATAGTACGAAACCATCTAGGGAAATATTGTTTCTTTGATTTGCAGGAAGGTAGAATCCACCCGGTATATTGAACCACAGATGAGATATAGGATAGATATAACATGCAATGTAAAATTTTGTCACACTCCCTCGGGGATCACAGGATCTCCTAACAATTTTCGTGTCACGCCCAGACATATCAACTTAGGCTGGTTTTACATAGCAGCGCTATAAGTGATGGGAATTAGAATTCAAACTATTGAAACACAAACTTAAAATATGTACAGACGTTGCAGTTTATGACAATTTTTGTCTAGGGCTTTGGGGTACAGACTTAAATTTGTGCCTATAGATTGTGCATATGATGTTGTTGCGTTACGCCGTTCGCGGTTAGGGAAAATTTAGGGAACTTTACGTGGGTAAGGTGCCCGTGGAGTACTAAGGTACTCTGCTCGTGGCGCGTGAAATAAACCTTATACTTTTGGTTGTGGAAATTTTGACTTCTGTTTTATTTCTGAGTTTATAAGTAGTTAAACGTTCAAGGTTTGAAATCGTTCTGATTTTTGCGTTGTAAATCTCCTTTGTGTCGGCACGCGTCCCCTCTTCCTTGGTCCTGTTTTCTCCTTCCGAGTCTCCTTGGCCCAATGGCAGAGGAGATTTGGTTAATGCGCGAACGATTCCATGCGCATATGCTGAGAGAAAGCGCGGGACCCAGAGAAACACACAATGTTCTCGTAAAAGCGAATGCGTCGACAGATAACAATGTATCGAATTCGCCGAAGTGAGGACCGAATGTAACACATGTCAACCTTTTGAAGAAAATTTATGGCCCTTTACAATGTATCGAATTTGCCGAAGTGAGAACCAAATGTAACACGTCTCAACCTTTGAAAAAGAATTTATGGCCCCTTACAATGTATCGAATTTGCCGAAGTGAGAACCAAAGATGATTCTAGTTGAAAATAATAATTCTCTGGTTTCCAACTTCCTCTCAACTCGGCCGTCCACGTTGAGTGTTTTACGATAATATACTGTGTCTATAATGTTCTCGCTAAACCATTCGTATTGCCCTCTCAATTTATGAGCTTCGACCGCGGAACGCAACTGTAGCTATCTTCGCCCGGCGTTACCGTCGTACCGTGCCTATCCAATTTACGTGATAGCGTTACACTGTATTTTTCAATCTACTGTGCTGAAATAACGACATTGTAAAAAATGTCTCACTGTATTGAATGTATGCACAAATTACACTTGAATGTTTTATGACGTGACATTTCGCGGTTATAGTTTTAATAAAAGGGTCCCAAAATTTCGCTTGTAAAATATTTTGAAATTAATGCAATTGCAATATTCGCAAAATATCATATAACAGAAGATTAGTGATTCAAACGGATTGCGGTTGATTAGTTTGGTCATACTGAATAATAATTTCCTACCACTAAAAAAGATGATAAATTTGATTCGATGCTTTAGATTCCTCAATTCCTTTAATCTTATAAAGTTAGTAAATGAAGTAACAGAAGATGTTTTCTCAACTGCAATAGACTGTGATCATAACTTCGAGCAACTATTCAAGTGGAAGTCATTCGACAACGGTTTTAGTGAGGCTAAGTTAATCAAGAAGCCAATATTTTTTCTTATATACAAATTAGGTTGTCCCGCGTGTGATCAATTGAAAGAAAAATTTTCAAAATCAGTGCGACTGATGGATCTTACCGATCGGTAAGTATTTCCAGAACCCAGAATTTAATGGGTAAAGAAATACTCTACAGAAATTACAATTTATACCGCTAGAGGTCAAACCAATGTCTTGTAACGTTCAGTATGATCATTATACATGATATTATTTATAATAATATCTACGTACATACAGGATATAATATTATTTTTACAATGAATTTAAGAAATGTTTAACGTAATTTCTAAATATTATTGTAGTATTTGTAACTTTTTAAGAGTTTGTGTAACTGTTTTGGTTTTTCTTATTCATTTATATACAACCATTATTAACAAGTTATAAATATTTATTCCTTGAGTTCCAATAACAACAATAAAAATCACCAATAATGAAAGTAACAGTCACAGTTTAAAGATATATCGAACGTTTAAAATTATTATTTAAAATTACTACAATATTAACTGTTTATAACAAAAAAGAGAAAAGTGGATTATTATGTTTCAATATAATCCTATTAGTTTTTATACATAAATAGACAAGTGCAAATAGAAAGTAGTAGCAAGAACAATGGTAGAAAATAAGAACAATTTATTTTTTATTAATTGTTTATAAATTACAAACTTTCAAGTATTTTATGTTTTTATATTATAAGTTTCCAAAAATTTCACTATCAATAATGATGATGTAAATAAAAAATGAATGTAATATTCATCTTGATTCAGCTTGAAAGAAATTATTTTTTAAATAACAAATGCTACGTTACTTTCACAGATTCGTGATGATAAAATTGGAAGCGCAAAATAATAAAATTCTAAATAAGGAAAAGTTTCAACCTGATGGGAAATACGTTCCCAGAATTTTATTTTTCAATTCAGATGGTAATTTGATCGTGGAAGCATATAATAGACACCAGAATGCCGACCAGAGTAACAAATATTTTTACAAAAATCCCTCAGAAATTGTAGAAACGATGTTGTTCGTTTTGAAAGAATATTATAACGAACCTTTGCCAATGGTTCTTTGAATGCAAAAATTGAAGTATCAGTATACTTAGTATACTTAGTATACTGATAATGAAGACAATATTTTTACTTTACTACATCGTAAATATGCGTTTATAATTAATTATCTGCAAGACAAATTTTATATAAAGATTAATGTTTTAACTGCCAATCCTCATATCCTGTTTTTAACATATAAGTTATGAATACATCGAATAATTTTTGTTGTTAGTTATTGTTTTTCACAAAGAAAAATTTACACTTGTTTTAAATTAACAAGCAAGTGAACATAAATGTAAGTATAGTAGATACAGACACAGATTGTTCAAGTTAATTTACCAAGTGTAGAATTAAACAGACAATGAATAATTTTATTGAAGCTTCTATCTGATTAAACATGAAATGAAAATCTTCAAATTATACGTCTGTAATATTAAATTTTGATCACGATATTCAGCTATTTCAATAATTGTTATGGATATAACAATAAATTCATTGAAAGTATTTATAAATTTGTTATACTAAATGTAATTTACAATCGGAGCATCTAAATATTTTTATCTTCTATAGTTAGTAGAAAACTATTCGTGGAAGTGTATAAAATTATAAAAAAACAAAATTTGCGAAAATCTGGAAAAAATAAAGACATCTAAACATTTATAATATATAGTTACAACCTATATCTATATACATTTAATTTATTATGATTGGAAAGTTACACAATAATCGTAAACCCCAATGAAAAGCGAGCAGTTTAAACGACAAAATGATTGGGCAAACTGTAGCGAGCTCTGTCAGCGAATGGGTTAATTTGGTGACCAATCTGAATGCAAGCTCGAGGCAGGCGTAGCCGTTTGAACACTGTTCGTGGCATTTGAGTCTGCGCCCGTACATTAAACACCCATGCACATCAACCTATCCGCAACTCGCAAAGGCAACCCTGACGGCGCTTGCGTTTGCAACTGTTGCCACATCGAGAGATGCTCCCTCATTGGTCGACACTGTCTCACCTAGGGCTGCTAACCACGCCCATTTCACCTCCTTCAAGTATAACTGTTTGATACACGACAACGTATCGAACAAGCAGTCTCCATTCCTTCTTCCCCAGAGACGAATTTCCCTTGATGATGGTAGAACTCAAGAATATAATCAAATCTTAAATCCTAACTGCAAGGTGGTCGAGTTATCGAACTTTCGAAGAGAAAAACAATATCGCAACAAAGTTTTATTTGTTTTCTGAATATCATGCATAGTAACTTTAAATAACAGAAAGCGTACAGTTAACATAATAACTTCTTCTACTTAAAGAGGAATTATCTACATACTATATCTAATAGTAGCATTTGATTATTTATTCGCAGCTTAGCTAAGACAATATTATATATATCTATAATAATTTATATAGATACGTTGGAGAGTAAGGAAACTTCATCGTGTCAATTGAAAAAATGAATCTTACCTACGAAAAAACTTAGTGCATTTCAAAGAGATTGCTCCAAGTTTCTCCAAAGGAGTTTCTTCAACCGAATTTCACACCTGGCGTACACTTCGGCTTTTCCAAACAGTCGTACGCTATTCCAACCCCCAATCGGTTCAACATATCGTTCTAAGTGCAATCGTAAGGTCACAAAGCGCAGGATCTATTAACACTTCCATTTTTTTAATTATTACAAATTAATTCTCTCAGTGATATATCAAATAAATACAATTTTTTGTTAAATCTATGATATCCGAGAAGGCCAAGACACTAACCGCTCCGAAAAATCTCTATTAATACCAGCTCGTTCGTTTGCGTGAGTTTTTTAAACAAATATTTTGATCCGACCGGACTATTAAGTGTTAACACTGAGTCAACCGTCCAAAAAGAAACTACAACTATAACCTTTTTTCATTGACTTTAATTGAAGTTATTTGGTAAATTTTATTCAAAATTACGTTTCATAAAAGCAAGAAAGATATTTAATGAATTGCAAGTGTCCTCAGTTTAAGACTCACCAAATAATAACATGAAAATCAACAAAATAAGTAGCAATGCGTTGCTAAGCGAAAAGTGGAAAGTCTCCGTACTGGTTGGTTACTGTAAGTGTTAACAACAGCGCGCTTCGTTCAAGACAAACGGTTGCTCGATCAAAGTCGCCTCCGTGTAACCAAATCCCGTCCCCAAGACTCGTCAGTCGTTTTCGACGTAAATTCGGTGCAGTGCAAGAGCGCATATTTCGTCGGCTGCATGACCCGTACGGGGAGGGAGGTGATGCCATTCACCGTCGTCGCCGCGCGAAGGCTGCGGCCTCGCCGCGATCTACCGCGCCCGGTGAAATACCGTACGACTTTTTGACGTGCTTTTAACAGATTGAATTGAAAATGGCTTCCCGGGCTCTCCGATATATCCACAGGGGCCACATCCACACCGCCAGGGAACGAGCGTGCTGCGAACGGACGGACGTGGGTGGCGAGATATATAATCTTTTTCCTCCGTCCCCGTTCCTCTTCCGCCTAGGCGGAAGGACCAAAGGGGGTGGCTTTCTCTCGCGTTCACACCTTGCCGCAACTTTTTCTCTCTTCCATTCCGCCCGTGTCGCCCCCGTAACCCCGCCTCCGTCCCTCTACAGCCGGTCCGTCCCCATTCCGCGAAACGGTCGCCGATTTTCCTCGTGGCCGCGACAAACCCCCTCCCCGAATTTTTTTCGCTCCCCTCGATTTTTGCACACTCGCTGATGCGGCACATTGCAAGCTGCGCCGGCGGAAACGACGACCAGCTGAACCGGACCGGTCACTCGAGGCCGCGGCGGGCTCGAAGTCGGGGAGGTCGGAGGGCGGAGGAAGGGTCGAGGGTGGAGGGAACCCTCGTGAAAATAATGTCCCGGCTCATTTTTTAGAGCCTCCAAACCGCAGGGAACAGCGAGCCCGAGGCGGACGGGCAGCGGGACGGAAAAAATAAAAAAACGTGACGGACGTGGAGATATAGGTGCGCTGATATTACGGGGGCGAAATAGCGCTG